CCAACTCAGACATGTACAAAACCAAAAACTTCACTGCCTTGGGGTAAGACAATTTCCTTTTAAATAGAATGAACAATCTAATAACTAAACAAAGCCTCAAACAAAATACCAAGAGCCCCCTTCCCCATCTGTATCCACAGGTATCAGCTAACAAACAAACAAATAAACAAACAAACAATCTCACCTGTGTGACCTTGGTGAGCTGTTCCTTGAGCTGTGAACTCTCGTGACATTTCTCCTTGTAAGCTTCGTAAGCTTTGTTAATGCTGGGCATCAGCTCTGGACGGGGCGCTCCCGATCCACTGAAATCTCCTGAAAAATCATCAATAGGGGAAACTTGATCCCTTAGATTACTTACTTGGTTCTCAAATTTTTGTAGAAAATCAATGTAGTAGGCTGTCGAAAAAACAAACAAATGCTTCCAGAGCCCAAATTCCTGGGCTGGTTGATACATATACATTGACATTTGATCTCACATCACTGCATTTAAAAAGGGAAAAATGTAACAACTACAAAAACAAGGCTTTTCTTCAACTGTTGAGGACAAAATAGGAACATTTTGGGGATGAGTCGAGCCTGAATGGTACATTTATTTTCCAAACAAAATGAAGCAGATAGATCCAAAAGCAAATTGCAAATGGCAAGGTATTGAATTCTTTTGTCTTATGTAGAAAAATGAAATGTCTCCTTCTGTTTGTGAACTGTGACCCCTGACCCCAAAGGAACCCTGACCCCTGACCTGAGGAGGACTCCAGCTGCTTGACCTGTCGGTGGAGTCGCTCGTTTTCGTGCTCGACCTCCCGCAGTCTGACCTTCAGCGCAGCGAACGCTTTCTTCAGCGCAAAGTAGGAGGCATTCTGGGAAGGGTGACAAAGAGCATTACAATGGTTTATTGTGGACCTCATGGACTGAATTATCTTTTGACTGGAATGACACGGACTATGATTATGCCTTATGATTTTGACTATTTGTTTTGGTTGACATGTCCTGTTTCTTATGATTGACTACTTGTACCCTTTGTTTATATTATTTATTACCTCTATGTTTAAGTAATTGATTGTCTACATGTATGTCCTTTGTAACTTGTTCTGTCTTATGTTGGGCTACCTTGGAAATCAGTCGTCCTAAACTTTAACTAAACTTAAACTTTAAGATCAATCAATAAATAAATAAATAAATTGTGCGCTACATGTGTAGCAGCCAGAATGGCTGAATTGTGTTGTAACATGACAAAAATTTGGTAAGAGACATATTCACATGTAAAACTAGAAAACTTACTAGAAAATCTCTAAAGAATAAAGTTAAGATAAAATCTGGTTCTCACAATTTATCAAAAACATCTCAAAACGATCCACAGAAACACAGCTTATACTAACAGTCCATGACATAGCTGGCGCACTAAACAGTAAACGGCAGGTAGATTTAGCAATACTTGATTTCACTAAAGCCTTTGATAAAGTCCCCCATGGCAGGCTCATCTCAAAACTGGAGTATTATGGAATCCAAGGCCCTACGCTGAATTGGTTAAAGGCTTTCCTGACCAACAGGGAGCAAACAGTAGTGGTTGAAGGGAAGGCGTCGGCTCCAGTTAAAGTAGCGTCTGGGGTCCCTCAAGGAACCGTCCTGGGGCCATTGCTCTTTCTCTTGTATATAAATGACCTACCAGATCAGCTTGACTCAAATGTTAGGTTATTTGCCGATGACTGTCTATTGTATGTAGAGCTTTCTACACAGACCGACTCACAACTTCTCCAAAAAGACCTGAACACCCTGGAAGAATGGCAAAGCAAATGGCTCATGCAGTTTAATCCCGAAAAATGCTACATTATGCACATAACAAACAAACGAACACCACATGCAACTAGCTACCAGTTTTGTGGTCAGGCTTTAGCAACCACAAAAATCCATCCGTATCTGGGCGTCACGCTGACAAGCGGACTGAAGTGGGGTGCACATGTTAATAATATCACAACTAAGGCGAAACAGACATTGGGAGTGATTAAACGTAATCTGTGGGCATGTCCAACGAGAGTAAAATCACTTGCATACACGTCACTTGTAAGACCGAACCTAGAATACGCTGCGACAGTATGGGATCCATATACAAAGAAAGACAAAGACAAATTGGAAAGGGTACAGAATCAAGCTGCAAGATTCTGTATGAACAACTATGTAAGAGGTGCTAGTGTCACGGAAATGAAAAGAAACCTACAGTGGACCTCACTTGAAGACAGAAGAAAGATGTCTAGACTATGCATGATGTACAAAATGACTAATAAACTGGTGGATGTCCCAACTACTAAGTACCTAATACCAGCCCAGAAGAGAACAAGAAATAGCCACGCATTCAAGTACCAGAGTTATCAACCAAGGATTGAGGTGTTCAAGAATTCATTCTTTCCTAGAACTATCGCAGAGTGGAACTCACTGTCACCAAGTACAGTACTTAGGGGCACTGTCAATAGATAGCTTTAAACAATGTCTAGAGCTAGAAGTTCAAGGGTTAGGTGTAACAAGTCGATCGGTGTAATATAGCCAGCTGCCGCCGCGCCGCGTGCCTGCGAAGCTGGTGTGTTACGCCGAAAGGCGGTTATACCGGCTATACAGATACAGATACAGATATTAACATATCAGTGACACAAATTAGTAGTTATGCCATGTTGACTAGTTCTGCCAGTTTGTTTTAGTGACATTAAAGAAGAGTGATGGATGTCATTTGACATATAATAAACAAACAAACAAACAAACAAGAGCCTAACCTGCAAGACATCCCCCTCCTCCTCCCCCCCATTGTTGCACATGGACTGGTCCTGTAGGAGAGGCTGTGTGTCGTTTTCCAGTTGACCTGTCGCCTCCAGGATGCTGATGTCATCGTTTTCTTCTACCACAGTCCCCATCGTTGGTCACTGTGGTGTGAGACCTAAAAAGGAACTGTAGTGTGAGATTTTAGCCCCTGTACACGTGAAGAAGCCACACAGGCGAAACTTGTCGTGTGACAGGCTGAATAAAAGTTCCTTCTGCCACAGTCCCCATCACCCGTCCCCTGTGTAGAACTGTGGTGTGAGAAGTTGAGAACCAAAGTTGTACTATAGTGTGAGACTGAGTTAGACATAGTGCCTATCTCAAACCCTTTGTACATTGGGATCTAGTATATGCAGTTGTGAACTGTGACAGATGTAAGTTGGAGCTTGATCTACAAATGTATGTTACAAATTTATATCCCTCCCATGGTATCAGTTTTCTTTAACAACCTTCTGACATGTACCTTAAGAGCTCTGTTATTGTTGTCCCTCTTTTGTGTCTAAAGTATTATTACACTATACGAGGTCTCTTTGTGCTGGTTTCACTTGTTACCAGTTCATGGTGGTTGACTCTTTAGGTTTAACCCTTGGTGACTTGTGCTTGTATGTTGTACAGGAATCTTTCTAGAGGTACCGTATACGTTGTTTTGTCTATCACTCTCTATGTTTTACGTTTATTATTACGCTAGAAGTAGTGTCTGGGTGCTGCTTTTCACTTGGTAACAGTTCATAAATGGTTGACTTTGTAGGTTTCGACCCTCAGTTTTCTAGAATAAATTTATGAGTCATGACACAAAAATTTCAACAACTTCCCCACCCAAGTGCAATTTTGACAGTCATATTCGAAATCCAAAAGACAGAAAGTATTACAGACATACTGTAGAAAATGTCGTAACATGTTGTAACATAAACTCATGCGGATTCTGGACTTTGATAGCCACCAAAATAAAATTATTTTATCTGACCCCGCAAAACACATTTGTTCGTTCTTATGTCTTTTCTTTTACCCTAAAGACGGACCAGATGAGTATTAGAGAAAGTCAAATTTTACCTTCGTCTTCTTGATTCTTCTCAGGACACTGCAAGGCAGAACTTTAAGGACTTTAGAGTCTAGAGAAAGTACAAAAGTATGACGATGTTGTGATCTGCCGCCATCTTGCTTCTTTACTTCCGCATAGTGCTAGCGATGACGTCAGCCATAACCTTTGCCCTACTGTTAACAGCGCACGATGTGACATAGCGGCTGATAACGGTACTGCAGCTACTCGTGCAAGCGCCGTTGTTGATTATAGCCTCCACAGCATGCCAAAAACTGGGGTTTTGGGGGTCTTCGGGGTCTTTGGGAGCTTTTATGTGCTATTTTCTGATTGCATATAGACAACATAGCCGGCCTGGTTGAATTACCACCGTTTTAGAATTGGGCTAATTAGAAAACAGCCGAAGACCACCAAACCCCCAGTTCTATAAGCCTGTAATACGGAGGCTAGTATGTTTATTCATATAATATGTGTGCATACGAGAAATTATTATGTATTTGCATTATTCAACGAGCCCTGGAAGATTAGTCCCGTAAAGGGGTTATTGAAAGTGGTAACTCAATAAGACCACGGCAAATAAATTTTATGGATGACACCCTCCGCAGACTTCAAATCTAAAACGATCGGGCAAAAAACAAGGCGCCCCCCCTAAAAAAAAACAAGGTTCCTACATTTTCAAATTTTGACTCAATCATTGTACAAACGGTTTTGATTCAGTGAGTGGGAACATCACATATACACTGCCACAATCACATATCACTGCAATTTACTTGCTGTGGCCTAAATGTTTTTTCCGCGTCTCACGTCCACCCGTGACCAACAACGGTTCTCCCCCACTACCCCAGACGACCTACATAAAATGTTGGCAGGACCGGTCCACTTACCCCTCAGGGGGGACGCCCAAACACAACAAAGGAACCTGCCAGTTTGCAACTTTGGCGGGGAGAGACAATTTTTACAACCTCAAAGTAGAACACTTTTAATAGAATTAATTTTATCTCTTTGAAAGGAGAACGTTACAAAACAATCTAAACAATGATTACTTATATATTTGACAACCTTATACCTCAAAATAAAAGTGCGTATCAGTAGTTTATCCTTACAAGCACCCCTATAAACGTAGAATGGTATGACCCAGTCCGAATTTGGGACGGATTAGTCCCAGGTCATTGACCCCACGCTAAAAACCGTCCCAGAGACAACCCTGCCACTTCCTCCCCAAAAGTCGCTGTAATTTGTGTAAAAAGTCGCTGTAACTGTTACAACCATGGCAGGAGGAGCTGTAACAACCGTGCTGAGCTACGACAACGCTCTGCTGGCCACCCTGGCTGTGTACGGGTCGCTGCTGGTGCTGAAGTTCCTCTTCGTCTCGGCAGTAACTAACTGGCGTGGGTACCTCTTCTCTTTGTCTACAGTGTATAGTGCTGTGGGTAGCGGTTAATAGGCTTAAAAAAAGGCCAAGAAAAGGCTAAAACAAGCCTAACCTCTGCTTGGAGAATTGTTTGTACATGTAGTTGCAAATGTACTCAAAGAAAAGCTTAGACATTTTTTAGATACTAGTAGAAAGATTCGACAAAATTATACGCCCCAAAACGCCTACGGAAACGTCCCGAACAAGAATGGCTAGTACTAGTAGCTAGCCTAGAGTCTGCTTGAAGAATACCTGCTTGCTCCTTTATGTAGAACGTCAGTCGTTTTTAAATCCATGTAAATTCTACGTACAGTGGTAGAGTTCTAGCCTCCACCGGGCCTCCCAAAGGGGCTATGGCTTGTGTTAGGTTCATTTATTCGCCCACGGCCTAAAATATGATAATATTTGGCCAAGAGCCCAGATTAGTAAGCCGGTAACACTATAACAGTGGTAAGGGCAGAAGGTAAGGGTAACACTTTCCACATACCAATGGCATTGTATACCCAAGGAGCTTTAAATGATGGAGGAAGGACCGAATAATTCATAAAGGTTCTTCATTCAATATTTACTGCTTTGCGCATATGGTGTTCCCAACGGCCGAATTGTGTAGTGTTTTGCACCAAGAATTCAAGGCCACTATATCGAGCTAGCTTAGGTCGCAAGCAGCATGTTGTTTGCGCAGAGAAAGGCAATTTTAGTCCCTATTAGACGGGTAAATGTGAGTTTGGTGAGAAACAATCTCCTGTAGTTTTTGTTTACACGCGAAGGCGCGCTCAGTATGACAGGGAAGATTGCCCCGGGCTGAACACGTGAACAGGACAACTCCCACCTATTAAATCTGCTTTCCTCTCCAAGCAGAGGTTTGTCTCCGGCGTGGTTTGGAAATATCTCTGCCCCAAATCATGTACAGTGAAGGAGACTAGAAAGGCCGTTTCGTAGCCTCCGTAGCAGGCTTATAGAACTGTGGTTTGGTGGTCTTCGGCTGTTTTCTGATTAGCCCAGTTCTAAAAACCGAGGTAATTCAACCAGGCCGGCTATGTTGTCAGAAAATACCACCCAAAGATCCTGAAGACCCCCAAACCCCCAGTTTTTGGCATGCTATGGAGGCTAGAAAGTCGGGCCGTTTGACTTGATTTCGGTCACGCCCCAATTGTTTGTTCACTCTAGACAAACATAGACAAACAGCGTACCTGTGCGTTTATGGGTCAGGGGGGCTCTACACTTTTAAGGGTGGGCAGTCAAGTGTGCAGGGACACAAGGGGCGGTTCGTTAAATGCGCACGCTGCGGTTGCAGGGAAAGAAGGGACGGATCGTTAATGCTTAGGAAAGGGTTGCAGATATGATAATATTGTACACGTACACTCCCTGGTGCCTAAGCCCTAGCCTCAGCCAGTCCTTTATACGGGAATACGGAAAAAAAGAGAGTAAAATTGGCCAAGGGAGTCCGGCCGTGGGGAGGTAGTTTCTTTCCCACCGCGGCCAGTCAAACCTACAAGGCGGCCAAACTCCCCTGGCAATTATTCTCCTATATATAGCCAGCGTAGTTAGTCTGGTATAGACTAGCCTAAGCCCACAAGTAATACAAATATGGTTCCAAATCGAAATGTCTACCTCAGCATGCTAAGGGTTAACATTCCAACATGTCTTACAGCGGCGTACCCACACACCTTCCCGTTCCTTCTGATTGGCCTGTTCTACGTGCTGACGTCACCGGAACCGGAAATGGCGTCACTGCTGATCCGCGTGTTTGCGGCCGCCAGTCTGGTGGACATGCTGAGCAGCATGCTCAGGTAAGGTCAATGACCTGAACCAGACGGCTGTCACCATGGTAACTGGTGCTGTAGAAGACACCCTGTGGTGTTGGGTAGATGATAGGTAGTATATAGTATCGTTGTAATATATAGACTCCTAGCTCAGGTAAGTTTTTTCTTTCCTAGATTTTTTTACGTTTACCTAGAAGAAACAGAGAAAACCTGTTTCCCCTTCTTCTTCTTCAAACAAATAAGGTCATTGACCTAGACCAGACGTCTGTCACCATGGTAACTAGTTTTTTGGCCTTAGTATATGTTTACCGAAGGAAAATATATTGTTTTCGCTGTTTCCTCTTCTTCCTCTCCAAACCTGAACCAAACGTCTGTCACCATGGTAACTAGCGTTGGGTTACATCATGTTGCAACTTTATAGCAGGAGGGATTT